CCTCGACGGAATCTCCTCCGTCCGGTTCTCAGATCTCCGAACCCATCTGCAGCTTGTGGTAGGCCAAGATAAAGGCGATGTACATCACAGACTCGTCCTAACTGGGCACAACTATGAAGCCATCCTTATATCTCAGCTCTGTATTCCATCCTCCTCGTCCGCGCTGGACAGTCTGTCGGGCAGCAGCTTGGTTTCCGGATTGACTGTAGCTGCTCAACTGTACAGACTTCTCTCTCAGAGAGCCTTGGTGGGCCGTTTCTGAGGCAGTGAATAGAGAAGGAGGGTGGGGATAGGACTGGGTTTGCTTTCGTGTGTCACCAGTTTCCCGACCGGCAGGGTATCGAAATGGGCGAGAACAATTGGCCCAACCCGGAGCGAAGCCCGGTCGGCACGCAAAGTAGGTCAACATGTGCGTCGACGGGGATGACCAGTTCAGACTGATGCAGGCAACCGAGAAAGAGGACGCGCAAGGAGCCTGTCAGGAGGATGGACAGAGCGTCTTCCTCGCCTGACACTGAGACCCCAGGGGACGGTAGATGCCAAGTGAAGCATTGTCAGTCAGTCTCTCCATTTCGTGTGAAACTGTTGGGACTTTTGGGACTTTTGAAGGGCGTCATGCACACGCTTTAACGGGACGACCGTAGGAGGAAGCTCTTGACCCGCCTTCAACGTCGTCGACAGCAGTACCGATCAGAGCTCGATAATCCCTCCACCGGATTTGATTAAACGGGACTGAACGTTTGCTCCCGGCTTGACGGAGGCTTTAGGGGCAAAACACCGGTTTTGACCCTCGCAAAAGGGTCGAAAGTGTGGCCGTACTGAAACTGACCCAAGCGGGTCGGCTGGAGCCGTACCTTTGCATGTTCACACTTACTATGGACGGAGCATTTAAGTTGAATGTAAATCAGATTCAGCTTCAAGTTACTCCTGTGATTCGTAATCGTGAAGGGGATATTCCCTACAAGCGAAGGCGTGAACAGGGTTGTAGATGAAATGAGTCGATGGAAAAGGATGTAACTGTCACAAATATCGCAAGATTACGCTACATTCCTGTCCAAACAGAGTCATCAAGGACCAGGCCTTAGCATTAACTGGAAATATGCGTTTGAAAATCAGAATTAAATAGCTACTAAAGGATACTAGCTTGGTAAAGGTTATTAAATTCGTTTTGAGTAGAATTCGAAACTACCGGTAAATCCCGAATTAGAGCTATATTCATCTTAAATTGTACAAGTCTCGAAGGATTGATATATGAATTATCATACAATGATGTGAGTAGGCTTCACGGTGCCATTTAAGTTCACTTAGCCCTTCATCACAAAAGACATTCTCATCCAGGAAGGACTACAATTTTGACCTCGTTCAGGTGTCAATAGCGAGGCCATAACCTCAATCCGGCCTGGATGAGGATACCTTTTGGGAAATAGGGCAAAGTGATATTAAATGGTATCTTGAGACTTACTCATATAATTGTCGGAAAATTCAACTATCGGTCCTTCATCATCCTACGCGACCAAGGATGAATACAGCTTTGACGGCATATATTATTCCGAAAATGCGGGATCCTCATAAAGTATGGGGAGATACATACCATAAAGTAACAGCCCAAAGCTTGATTGTTATCTAGGCTGGCCGATTTCAACTTTGCATTAGGGGACTGATTGCTATTCTGCCTACTCCTTCATGCACCCCAAAAAGCCATTTTTATCCTGACTCAACTGCAGTCTTATCAGCACCCCAGCGGGACTCGAATCATGGACGTGTGTGCGCTAAGAGGCAAAAAATTTTCCCTTTTCGGATATACGACCCCAGCCGAAGTCGACAACAATCAAAAGGGCGACCTGTCCAAACTGGTAAATCTGGGCCCAAACCAGACTCGTAACAATTGTCACGTGAACTGTTATCGCCTAAAAGAACCTTAAAATCTAGACGTAGCTACGAAGACCAAGATTTTGGGGCCTCTATTTTGGTCGCAGTCTCCTTACGATGTATAGATGTGGCCTGACCTCGTATTCGCAACTTGGTTTTTGTCCGAGCGACTCAGTTGAACGCACCTTGTCCGAAATCCTCTGCTGCATTAGTTATCACATTTCCAAGCGTCGAATCGTGGACTTGGTACATTCCCAGACGTTTCGCCGACATCGTAGTCAGCATCGTGAGTGAATCGTGCCATTCTCAACACCAAGCTACAACTCGTTAAAGAGACAAGTAAAGTCAATCCCTTGACCAACTTTCTGCCGAAACGGTTCTGCCATCACTCCCCCTTCTGTACTGGCCCATCTATTTCCTACCCTCTTTTCTCGCTCTCATTTTATCACAACTTCTGACTTGTTTATATGCCACTCCTCAAGAGGTGTGCCATTTTGGCGAATTTACTGTGGCGTCATCACACCTGCTGTTTGCATTGCCCTCCTCCCTTTCGAGTGGCTAATCTGACTCGGGCCTCCTATCCGGACCTCTCTCATCTGTCCGAGGATCCGTTCTTATCTTTCTGGCTAACTGACTTCACTCGGTCCCAGCCTCAGTGTACTGTTTACCCCAAGGGCTATTTCTCAAGCACATACACTTTTGCCCCAGCTGAAAAAATGCTAAACCTTACTGGAAGACACAAGGTTGCTTCTCGATACGAAATTACCCATGAGATAATGTGAACTGTGTGATCCCGGCTTCTTTCTGGATTTAATGAAAGTCGTGCAACTCAGGTCGTCTGACTTGGGAGACAATGTACCTTCCCCTTTAATTCACAATCCAAATTCCGCTGGGAGTGGGGATGAGAAGACTCAGTTGAAGGTAGGATCTGATTTTTCGAAAGCAATACGCAATGAATTTCGGTCTAATAAGAAAACAATAGCGATTAAAATATATGAGATGTATCTATCCTATTTCGCTTAAGGTAATGAATGATTGGTAGTTGAATTTTTCCACAATCATATCAATAGGCTTTATTTCCTGTTGTCATTTTGGCAGGGGATAGGGATAGAGTATAAAGCTGAAAAAATGGGCGCACTTGGGACACATCAGCCAACGTGTAGCGTGCAATGCCAGAAGGCTTGTATGAAATCCTCTTTGCATTTTAGGCCGTCACCTTCACGATTCGAAGAAAAATTGGGTTTCGAAGATGTCCTTAATGTAATATTGTGACATGCCTCTCCATTTCGAAGGGAAAGTTGGTTGGAAGGAAGTCGTAATGTGGTCTCACCGGAAACCGAAGGAGAACTGTAGATACGATGAGAAACTGGGCTTCAAAGAGTCTCCCAAAATAACATTGTTGGGGGGACTTTTATTTCATATGAAAGTGCATGAAGAAGAGACCACTCTATATCTATCTAGGTTTTTAATTTTATTTTGGCTTAATTGAGTCAATATAAGAGGTAAGATAGAGCCGGATTGTGTTCTTGCCCTAGTGTTAGCGTGATACATTTACAGAAATGAAGCCCAGTTCTGATAATACCCTTCATATGATGGACGAAAGCTCAGCCCATTTTCACCTGAAACGAGGGAGGTCTCGTGGACTGCGTCGACCTGGACGTCGTGTAAAAGCCAAATGGCTGCAGTACAACGGAATTCATCCATCCTCTTTTGGTGAGATCGACCTACAAATATCTTTTTCATGCCCTTTCATACGAAATGAAAATCTCTAACAAAGAAGGATTGTCGCGTAAGAAAGACTGTTGAATTGTGCGAAGAAGTCCTCGGCTCACGGTCCTGCCACCCCGACGAAACTGTGCTAAACTTTCGTCTGTAGTGTGACATACATCATCAGAGCAAGAGTCCATACTTTGCGAAATAGAGCAAAAATATGCCGCTTTTTATACACCTAACATCACGATCTGTGTGTATGTAATACTCATTCCATGAGTATTACATACGCACAATACACAATAACACAAGCCCAAACATGATTCCGCATTAGAAAATCATACGCTAGTTTTTGTGTGATGAATTAGCTGTCGCCGAACGTATTTCAGGTTCGGGAAATTAACTTCACTCATTTGCAAGCATGTAGAGTAAGGTTGAAGTAGCCAACCAAATCAGGGGAGGCCTCATTATGATTGTGATGTTAGGTGTATAAAAAAGCGACTAGGGTTGGAGCCGGTCACCTTTTTCTCCTAGTTTAGCATATTTTTGCACTATTTCGTAAAGTATGCACTCTTGCTCTGATGATGTCTGTTACACTACAGACGAAAGCATAGCACAGTTTCATCGGCGTCGCAGGACGGAGAGCCGAGGACTTCTTCGCTCGCTTCAACAGTCTTCCTTACGCGACAATCCTCCTTCGGTTTTCGGTGAGACCACATCACAAATTCCTTCCAATCAACTTTCCTTTCGAAATGGAGAGTCATGCCACACTCTCCGCGATTTGCCAACCAGAACCATGTTGATGACCGCCAGTCTGGATATATCTGGGACCTAGGTTCTAGACCACACGGCGCAATGCTCTTAGCACTAACCTTACCCAAAGAGACCCTCCAGCATACCTGAATCTTCGTTCATGCCACAAGTTGCCCTTATACATTACAAAGCCAAGACTGCTGACCCCCGTAGGTATCATTATTGCCCGATTATTGCTAGTTTTGTGCCTTCAGAAAAACACCTTCCTCCGTTGATCTCATGTTTTGTTCAAGCATTAAATCCACCCAATATTAAAAACCCTGTATCTTTCATGTGAACAATTATTGAATGATAATTTAATTTCGATTCATTTTCACATCAAATATGAAGAATCAGCCATAAAATGTACTGCTAGAATTGGTCTGACTCCATTTTCTCAACTCGATCGTGTTATCAAAGCGACGACAGTACGAGCAAGTTGTTGGAACATCGCCATACCAATACTATAGAGCGGAAGGAGACTTAGACCAAAATGGAGGCCATTCAATCTTACGTCCACAATAATTCTAGAATCACACAATTGATCCACTTGAATGGTACAGTCGTGTCTGCAACCTTAGGATGAGGACAGACATATCAGGCTTTTTTCGACGGTATATTCGCCGTGAATTTCTGAATTTTGATGAAAATTTAACATCTGGAATACACTTCAGAATCCACAATTTATGCAGGATTCGAATGCCACTGACAATTGATGAATTCAGGAATTCAGACCTTCACGGTTACTGTCGAGCCCAGTCAGTGGACCTCGATTTTCACATGAACAGTTTGGCTGAATTCAAAGGAATATTATATAAGTGCTGTATTCACCACATTTTGTCTATTGTGACGAAGAACCTGTAGCTTTAATTTTCCCAAAATGCTATGAGTAGGCCTCATGCTTCCATTGAATTTCGCGTAGCCTTGCTAAAACGTATTCTTATTCAAAGCGGACTGTAGTTTCCACTTTGCCTAAGTATCATCAGCACCCCCAGCTTTTATATAAGATCTGTTTGTTTCGCAAACCCACTTATAAAT